AATTAGAAGGGAATCCTTCCATCCCTCTACATTGCGCCTCGTGGGCTTTTGTTGCACCCATGGTTAGTCGATTTACGGAACAACTGAATTTGTTCTACTTACATATTTAGGGCATTTTAGCCATTTTAACATAATGCTTCCATTAATCATTTTGTAGCCATTCATAAATTTATGCCGACATTTCGCGTTTATTGTAAATACCTTTGCTATATGTTAAAAGGGAGGCTGTTTAAGTGCCAACATTATGAACAGGCTTTTTTGCGTAGCAGCACTTTGAACCGCCACGCTTTCAAGGTTTATGAGAGTGGGCTAACTTCAGTGATAAGGACCTAATTTTTTGTATATTTTGATGGATTGTGTTTAGGTACCAACAATGCAAAAAACCTTCTCCCTTGCCAGAATTATGGTAGATTCTTCTCTCGTCGTGTCCTTTTAAAAGAACACATTTCTGCGTTTCATGAGAGTGAGTTAAGTAGTTTGAAAATACTAATCTTGACCAGGTTCTAAAAATATCATTCCTGATATTTAAATGAATTTCACTTTGTACTGCTTTTACATCACTTTTAGGAAGGAGGAGACTCACTTGCCCGCAATGCATTAAACATTTTTCCTATTCAAACCAATTAAACAGACACATTACTTTGGTCCATGAGAGTAAGTTAATTAATTTTGTTATGGTAGACTTGATCAACATATAAGTACGCATTTTCTGCTGCACTAAAACACTACATTTTATTACGTTAACATAACCCTTAGAGGAGAGACCGTTTACGTGCGAGAATCGTGGTGTATCCTTCACGCAGCAATGTAATTTAAACACGCACATTTCTGCGGCTAATGAAAGTGAGTGGAGTGATTTGTAACTACCTATCTCAATCGACTTTCAGATACTTATCTCTTATTGTTTAGTTGCAGTTCGCCTTGTATTTCTTTACACTGCCTTTAGAAAGGAAGCCATTTACTTGCCAGAAGTGTGGTAAAGCCTTCACTCGTCGAACGCGTTTAAACGCACACATTTCCGTGGTTCATGCAAGTAGGTTTATTAATTTTAGTATGATTGCCTTGATCACCACTTAAATACACATTCCTGATTTGCAAATGCATTTTGCTTTTTACCACTTTTACGTTGCCTTTTAGAGGAGAGGCGATTCGCGTGTGGGATTTGCGGTAACTGCTTCATGCAGCGATGTAATTTAAACACACACATATCTGAAGTTCATGAGAGTGAGTTCAGTGGTGTTTATGTACCTGTCTTAGTCTACCTTCGGACATTTATTTCTTAATGTCTAGCCACGCCTTGCTTTGCATTACCTTCACATTAATTTTAGGAAGGAGGCCGTTCAGTTGCGAGAATTGTAGTAAAGCCTTCTCCCGTCGAGGCGCTTTAGACAGACACATTTCTGCGGTTCATGAGAGTGGGTTAATCAATTCTAATGTGATAGCTTTGATCAACATATTAATGCGCATTTTCTGATTCACAAATACATTTTGCAATTTAATACTTTAATATTACCTTCAGAGAAGAGACCATTCACGTGCGAGATTTGTGGTGCATCCTTCACGCAACGATGTAATTTAAACGCACACATTTCTGTAGTTCATGAAAGTGAGTAAAGTGATGTGTATGTACATATCCCATGCTACATTCAGATGCTCATGTCCGAATACTTAGCTGCAATTTGCTTTTTATTACTTTTACACAACTTTTAGGAAGGGAGCCGTTCACTTGCCAGATGTGTAGTAAAGCCTTCTCCAGTCGAGCAGGTTTAAACGCACACATTTCTACGCTTCATAAGAGTGAGTTCACTAATTCTTCAACGATATTCCTAGTCGATTTTGGGGTGCATACTTACTATTATTCAATGGTGTTGCGGATTTTCCTGCTTTGTTCTACCTTTCCGAGGCGAAAAAAATGTAAATCCCGGGTTTGATATTAGCACTTGAAGTAACAGAGGGCTTTGAAACACTATCATTGCGCTTATTGGAAGTCAGATAAGTACTTCCTAAACAGCACCTGCAACTACGTGTGTACTTTTATTGCTTGCTATCAAAAAAAAATTCGTTTTTACGCTTGCCATATTCTTGGACCGTCCGATAAAATTCTACTTTATTACATTCCTGATAAGGTACTGGTTTACATGGCCACGCTTTAGTTGTCGCCATGTAGTAGATATCTTCTATGATCAAATAGATTCTAGCATTGCTAGAAATTTTACCACTGCTAAGTTAGCAGTGCTTTTCAGAATACTGAATCTTCTCCAGTGGAAATTAAGAATGGGCAATTTTTGCAGCATACAAGCAGGGCATATGTTTTCATAACAGCAGTTTATTTGGTCTTTTTTCAAGAATGCTGCTAGGTTTCTCTTTGTTGCCACTGCTACCATTTTAGTAGCACAAATTGTGGAGTCCACTGTATACTCTGCTACTGACTTCGCGGCATCAGTTCCATTTTTTGCTGTTTGCAATTACTATGTGGTGCTCCTTAATGTGCATATCAAATAAAATGAATGCATTTCGTTTTTGGTAAGATGCAAGTGCAATTTTCCTTAACTAAGTTGTTTTTGTTCCAGAACGAAAGCGCGGATAAGAATAATATTCTTTGGTGCAAATCAAGCAAACTACCGGCATGCATGCACATGCATTATCAGCTGCGTCATGTCACACAGATCAATTACCTTATAATGGTGATGTCCGTGCTTTCCGCCTATTCTCTGCAAATAAAGGCCAGCTTGCACATCTTCAACCTTGTCTCAAGCAAATCGTGCCCTGCATAAAGCCTATGTGCCTCTTAACACTTTGAAACTTTTTTTACTTAATCAACCCATGCGCCTTAATGGTTGGTTTTGAGTCTTTCCTTGGGGAGTGGCTACCCGTAGCGCAA